GAAATCAACAGCAGTTGGGAAAAAACAGAGAGTAAGAAACAGCCGAAAATTTAGAAGCCCCCAAAGCAACTATACAATTACAGGTAAACACCCCAAATGTCGATTTTCGATTGAAAAGAAAGAGATGACGCTCCGAAACTGGGAGGTAAAAGAGACCCAGAGGGRAGCTTTGAAAAGAAAAACGCTTCAAATATCTGATACCTCAGTAATACTATCGCCAAAAAGATAATTGATGAAACAAAACTCGGGCAGCCGAGTAGTTCAGAAAAATATTAAATCCAGTAAAGCATAAACCCCTACTACTGTTTTGCAATACCTAGAGATCAAAATGAGAAACGTAGTGGAAGTGGAGAATTGGGTAAAAATTCACGTGAACAAGTGGGAAACAATAAATCTAGACCAGGAAGCACGAAATAGAAGAATTCTAACACCATCAGAGAGCTCAAATGATAGTTAACAACTATAACAGGAAAAAAAAAAGTAAAGAGGCAAGAAAGGCGGGGGGCGATGTAGATAGTCAGATGATACCTCATAGAGCTCCTTGAGGATAGATTCAGTATTAGATTCAGTCAAGCTATGGAGGAGGAAGCGAATCTGAGATGACGTTGCAGTYGAAAATTTCAGCATGGTGACCCAAATCGGGAAGCTAGGGTTTTCAACCGGAAAGACTGAGGGAGGGCCGAGTGAGCGCCAAGAAGAAGAACGAAATGAGAGTTGGAGAAGCGGTTCGGGAAATGAGATTGCGGGAACAGAGTGCAAGAAAGAGGAGATGATGGAGATCACGAGAGTGTATATTCAATGGCGTAGAATYGTATTTATATTCTCTTCTCTTCTCTTCTAATTGCAACTTGCAACTTTGGTCTGCTCTGCTCTGATGGGCCTTCCTCTTCTGACCTACACAAATATGGCCTCATAAATTAAACTCAAACTATCTTTCTACCCCATTTTTTGCTTATATTCCCATTTTAACCCTACCTGCTGTTTCAACTTTCATTTCATAAAAGACGGCGATTCCATTTCTTCAGAGGATTAAAGAGGTCAATCCATACTCAAAAAACAAGAGGGGCGTTATCTCTCCCTCCTCGAATAAAAAATATACTATAAGGAGAGATATCTGTTGATGGTTTTGGATTGCTGACTTTTTTTTTCCGCGCGAAAGCAAACATTGATTAATTAGTATAAAAACTGTGAATCAACTCAATTTTATTTGTGTGCGGTAATCTCACCCTAGATATTGTATTGGAAAAAAATGAATTATATTAAATGTCAAATGTTGCAATTCGAGGAGTCAGGTAAAGGTGTAACGAATTCTTAATTTCATTTTTATTTATTTTGATAATTAGATATATCGAGATGTGTTAATATATTGCAATTCAATTTATTTTCTTTGGAATAATTTTACATTGACATCTAACTTTAATTAATCTTTGACTTGCAACAGTTTTATCTTATATGTATAATAAGTCTACGTTGAGGTAGGATTTGAATCTCATACTTTACGGTTGATGGTRCATGTCTTGAGTAATTAGTTATTTGCAACAATATTTATGTTGTATAATAAGTTGATGTGTAACTAGCGACAAAGTTTATCCAATCGACTGCATGCTCGTAYAGGGGTGGCTACTCGAAGAGCTTTTCATTTGTCTTTTTTTATTTCTTRTTCGACTTTGTCTATATGTGATTTCCCTACCTCTGATTCATCCATTGATGTGCTATGCTTAAGATGGTTATTCCGATTTAAAAAAAAAACGAAGGTATATGTCAAATTTATAATGATTTGATTCTCCATATTATCCTTTAAAGTTTTATGAAGTAAGACGATAAATAGTTGGTTAAGACTTATAAAATYCAAGATAAATGGCTTTTTATAAAACATCGCCTGATGTAGTTTTCTTAAACATGACATACGTGGTGGTTACTTTTTATTAAACGTGAAACGCAAGATATAGTGCATTCTCAGCTCAGAAGYCAGGTACTCGTAAAAAAATTGAAAGTACCCTAGAGAAACTACAATGACAAAACATTTTAAAAAAATAAGCATTGCATGTTATCAGAGTAGATGTTAAATAAACTAATCCACACCATGTCCATACTTGATATATAACGGGAGAATGAAAGAACAATATGTAAAATATATTGTATATACAATCATATTGCTTYCATTCATAACCAGATTTACTGTTCTCTWAAATTGTTCAMCRCAGACAAATTAAAGTACAGATCGAGAATATCAAACACCATTAGTTCAATAAACTTTTTGTTTTTCCCGTGAAATCATGCCTCTTGATTTTTGAATTCCAATATAATTTTGCAATCTCAAGATCCTTGCTTGGAAATGACATTTCATCACTAGAACTTTAGCCATTCTAGTTTTTAAGAAAATCTAGAAAACCTGTAATTTAATTACCAAGCCTCACAGTAACAACTCATTACCTGGTGGCCATTTATGCCAGCCGCCATTTTCAATCATCGTCTTTACTAACTCCCAAGTTGGAACCAAGGCTGCTGTTCTGTTGCTGTACAAAATCAAAATTTTACAAATGAAATTCTAAACAAGCTTTCTTATTTCRTATTTGATAAGAAGGTACAAATGCTCACTGATTTTGTCATCCAATCTTCTTACGCCGTCCAAGATCCCAAAGATTAACCTCCATACTCTTCCGGAGCTCATGGAAAGGCAATGTTCAAATCATTAATGGCAACGTGTAGACAACGTGTTACATGTTCTCGGCTTATGTATGATGTATGAATTCAAACCTCTGACTTTGTATAGAGTTAATTTATGTCACGACCAACTCAATTATATCCCAATAACTCATACAAAATAAGGTAGTCGATCTTTATTGTTTAAACCAACAAACCAACAAAATTCGATTATTCTTTATGTCAGCTTGCAYCTCTCCCTAAGCTCGTGATTAACTATTGAATGTCAAGTTTTTGTTTTATTTAAAATGTCAAATAAGTATTTTATTCATTAACAAATGTTAAAATTGACTATGTTGTGTCATTCAAATACGAAGAGTACGTGGGGAGTGATTTTAGTACACCTTTACTATTTTATAAGGGTGAATTTGACATACCTTCCAATTTAACAAATTAAAAAAAAAAAAGTTATCTTAAAACATGTTTTATATAAAAAAATCCGTGTGTTTGGTAGCATTTTCTTAAAATTAATTTTAGTTAAAGGTTTGTTTGGTTGCACCATATGCAAAAGTACTTAAAAAAATGTCAAAATTTCATGAAGTCATTCTAAAGTGATTTTAGTTAAAGTGATTTTATTTATTACCAATCATTGTATATGGATAAGAATTTACAAATAGGATAATTTTATAGGACAAACATCTATGATAGATGCATGTCATTTAAGGACGGTTTGTTTTAAGATTCTCATAGAATGGACATCTCGATAATATGCAGATATTGAGTCAATATTTTTGAGTAAATATGAAGCGACCATCTTTCAATTTAAAATGATAGGAGTGGGACAATGAAAGACAGGTAATAATATATATAGAGCAAATTAGAAGCATTATTTTTCCTTTTCGTGTAAATTTCTCTCCCACGATTAGTCGGCCTGTATACATACAAAACGATCAAGAACCTTAATGCATCTTTTTGGGAGGGTCGGATTCCAAATAGGCAGAACCCAGGAATGGATCCAAAACCAAACAAGTCCTGACATGGATACAATCATACATRAGCTCGGGACATGGTCACGGCAAGGGAACATATATCAAAATATAATTATCAACTCCAATTTTAAATTTAACTTTTGTTTTCCAAAGAAGATATATAGTAATTGATAGAATGACATTTATTGGATTGTGTCTTTCTATTATCAAAACATAAAAATAAAATTGAGGGGAATAATATTGGTTTATAAAAGAAAAGTGTATTTTTATTTTAAATCAAGTGTGCGATTGGTGCCGAAGTGAAAGCAGGAACGCCCGACCGACGAATGGACCACGGAGGAAGCGCCGTGATGAGGCCACCGAGAGAGAGATAAACTCCGGCGGAGAGCCGTGGCCTAGCCCCGCCCCGCCCCCTGCCGGTCAAGCTTCTCAAAGATGTAATGTGTTGAAAGCCCGACGGGCCGTCAATGGAATGTACTGCACATATTTGGGCTGTAACATAGCCCAATGAGACCCATGATATCTACACGTGTAACTTCAGAGATGACAAAAATATATAATTAAATAATAATAAGCTATTTTACACATTGATGTGGATCTCTGAATGTATGAACTATAGTCTATTTAAGCAGTTTCTATTATTTCCTATTCTAAATTTAATACATTGCTTGCTTCAATTTTCTTTAAAGCTGGTGGATTGAAGTACTTTTAAACCATCCCTATCTTAACACAATGGAAACGAAACAAAACAAAACAATTCGAAGGCAGAAAATATCAAGAGATGAGTTTCAAAGATCATACTCAATACAAGCTTGCAATTAAATAATGATCTCTAATTATGTCAAGTTGAACTAATTATCCCTTGCATCTAGCTCAACTATATATTAATACGTCTTTATACATTTCATAATTTAAAGTATCGTTGAGAATCATACRTTCAAATCTCAATATAGACATTTTAATTAAAGTTAGATAAATTATTGGAGTTGGAAGTCGACATAATGTGGTTATCTAAACTTTACACGGTTCAATGTATGTACAAGAGAGAAACTAGTACAAAAAAACATATTTTGAATTTGTATTTTACAACCATGTGCAAATTTCAAACGATTATCGAAGAAAATTTGTTATTGATGGTCGTGTTGTGTGGTATGAAGGTGATATAGTCTATCACCAAGCAAAAGGGTGCGATGTCCTCTTCAAGTGATATTGAGATTACGTAGAGATGTTGTTTTGAAAAACTATTATTGTGCAAAATAAATGGCACGTGATTGACATGTGTGAGAGAGGTCGGTCCGAGAGTAGTCTTTGTCAAGTAGGACGGAGGAGAATCGTTGACATGTATCAAGTACAAGTACAGCCAAAAAATATTAAATAAAATTGTTTGTAATTTGCAACATTTATAGTCTTTGGTTAAAACATTATTATTTATAGAAGAACAATAAAAGGGCAAGTAAAGAAGACGAAGCAGATGGCAATGGCCCAAGTTGTAGATGACGTGGAAACATGAGCCTGAGCTTGGTTCGTAGAAGTTTCAGACTCCAACTCCAAAGACTCCAATTTGAAATTTGGGTTCGATCCATAAAGAGCTTGCACGCCTTCCACGTCATCCACTTCCAGATTCGCCTTCTTCTCCCTCGCCTTCAAGCTTGGGTACATCACCGACTCTCTCACCCGGCTGTGACCCAGCCCCAGCAAATGCCCAATCTCGTGCGTCGCCACCGATTCCAAGTCAACCGCCACCGCCGATTTCTCCCTCTCGAAATCCACGGCCCACGTCTCCGCCGCGTCCAGGTGGAGCCTCCCGATCTCCGGCGAGAACGAGTGGGCCAGCACCCCCAGCACGCCGTCGAATGGCTGCCCGTCGCTGTGATCGCCTTTGTAAAATCCGATTTTTATGTCGGCGTAATCGTAATCGTCGGTTTCCTCGAAGCTCACCGGAATAACCGAGGCCCACTTGGAAAACGACTTGCGAAATACACGTTTCACGTCTTTTACGCTCAAGTTGCTCATCCAGTTGTCCTCCAAGAATGCATACGTCAGCACCATCGGCATTCGACGCGTCCACCGTGGCTTCCCGGGAAATAATACATAACGCGCCGTTGCATGGGGCCCATGCAACGTATCCGACACGCGCCACCCCGCTGCAGCAGTAATAATTGGAAGGCCCAGACCCAAACCGGCGGTCCGATTTTTGAGCACCGGCACGGTTCTGGACGGAATGCACGGCGGCGAGCCGAGGAAGAAGAGGGCCAAAAGAAGGGAGCGAAACATAGTGGTGACAGCGAACGATTGACACAACAGTAAGAGAAAGGGAATGTTTTTTCCTTTTATATTAGTGATGGAATATATGGTTTTAGTTTCTGGATTATTGAAAAGTGAAATTTGATCTTATTGGGACTTGGGAGGTTCAACTTTCTAGTCTTTAGCTTAACTACTGAATTTTGACAAATATTGATAGTTTGGTGGACAACCTTTATTGTTCAAAAGATTATTTAGAAAATTTAGGAAGGTGTGAGAYATTTACCTAAATGAGGTTCCAAATGTTGGGTAGGGGAATTAAAAAAGTGTTGGTTGGTAATGGGAGAAATGTCAAAGAACAAATGATAAGGATGTGAGTGTGTATGTTAGTTAGGAATTATGATGGTTGCTTCGAATTCCTAGCGTAGCTGTGGTGTTTCTTTTTTCTGGTCACCTCTCTCTACGTGAAGATGACTCAAAGTTGTAACTTAAAAGTTAAAATGTCATCGCAGTTGTTGGGTTCCACTCCATACCACTCGCACTATTGCCCAACCTCGCTCAAAATATTTGTTCAAACAACTTATAACTTTTTTTATGGTTTGTCTTTGTGGACCAATCTATATCCTGTTAGCTAGGATCGGTATAGTCAAATTGATGTCGRATGAATTAGGAACATGTCGGAACGAAGAAGGAACAAAAAATTGGTGAATAAGCGGACTGCAAGCCATTGGGACGATGAGCTAGCTAGGCAGCGCTGTGGCACTGTCCTAATGTGGGGTGCGTGAACGAAGTTTCCATCTTTCGAGCCATGTSGCACTCTATCGACTTATAAATTCTACAGTTTCACATTTTTTAGGTTTCGGAGCTATTTCAAGTCGTTTTTCAAAACAGTTTGTGCCAGATTGCTGACAGAGGCTCGGGGCATTGACAGCAGCATTAGGATAGATAAAGATTGTTATATTTAGAGTAATTAAATCTTGATTCTCGTGAGTTTTTCATTCATGTACCTAAGTATTATTGTATACTTAGAAGCTWGGGGTTTTTTTGTTGGGATCTTTAGAATATTTGTGCGAAGATATATTTAAGAGTGCTTGTATATCTAATCTCATTAGAGTAGATCTAGCATMTAAGCAAAAGACTAGACGTAGTTCATAAAATGTTGGGGGTGAACCAGTATAAATCTGTTGTGTCGTTTATTGTTTTCCGGAGYGCATAATTTCCCAACATATCCTAAAAAACTCAAAACTTCGTTTTCTTTCAAAATCACAATATTATAAAATAGTGATTTCAAGCTGCACTATCGATCGTTAGTTATTTAAACTAGTGTTAATAATGTTAACGATACCACAGAGGACCTAACGAAGGTATATAATATAAGTGAACTACTTTATTTTATTTTGAATTATTTTTTAGATGRAACTCCATGAATACTTATATGGTATGAGAGAGAGCTTAAAAGCTCAAACGAGCATCTGGTCCAAGACCGGTGAACCCAATGAGGCACTATAGGAGTATGTTAAGTATCCCACATGAAAAAGAAATTGATTACTTATCATTTAATTGTGGATTGGTTTTTAGATGAARCCCTATGAATATTCTTAAATAATAATCGTTTTTTGGAGGAGAAGTTTGATGTTAGTATTTTTGTCCATCTAATTATGCTCTGATTGGTAGCAAGGAAKGAAGATTTTCAATAGTAATTTTTTAGTACAATGTAATAAATATTGGCGAATTTGAGCATGACTAATTAACCTATTTAAAAATCGTGGGTTGGAATTATCACATTTGTTGTACTAAAAGAAAATACAAAGAATATTGAAATAGATGATCTAACTTTTTGACCTGGAGAAATATAATCGATGCTACCTTTATGTGGAGGATAATGTGTCGATAGTGGAGCGTTTTGGATAAATGAAACAATATAGTGGGCCGCTCTACTCAGCCCATATTACATCCTAATTCTGGGATGACTGCTCCTGTAGCCTCTCCTCCAATTGGGGCTTGGAGGATGATCATTTAATATAGGACAATAAGCCTTCTTCGTGATTTGATTTTGTACTTTGAAAGTCCCAATTTGGACATTTGCATTTGCTGCGTAAATTTAAATGGCTTCACAGATTGCTATAGCTTCCAGGGCGTATCCACGTCGGGCCAATAGGATAATAGGCAAAAAGGTCTAAAGTCAATTAGGTCCAACTTGATAGATCTGATATAAGAAAAAATCAACTTAGGAGAATTGCTTGCAGAGATCTCGGTCTTATAATTAACATTTATTATTGCAATCATATACACGGACCTAGAAATATTAAAAAATAAAAGAAAAACTTTTTATTAATTCGTAAATTATTTTACCATATCTTTTGTACATACTATAGTGTGTCATTGAATCAAATTATTGGATCCGCACGGATGGTTTTGAATATTTTGATTGAACAATGCTTCTATACGTATGTAGAGGTCATCTTGCATAGATCAAGTTCACTGGAAGGGATTCCGCCGATTTCTCCATTGTTGTAAGCTGCATCGGTATATTGAGTTTCCATTTGGTCGATGAGGAGCCTTGATTTCAAAAAAAAAAAAAAAAAGAAAAAGAGTTGGACAAGACAATAAAGTTGTTTTTGGATTTGAAAGGAAGGGTAGAGGAGAAGAGAAAATAAATGGTGGGGAGAACTGGTTAACTGATAAGAGAACCAAATAATTGAGAAACAGAGCTGGAGTTTGGGAAGCAAAGGCTGAGACTCAGAGATAGAGAGTAAATTGTTTGGCAGAGAATCGGGACCCACCTCCTCTCTTTATGACAAACCAACAAATACAGGACCGGCCCCATCTTGACTCAGCTTGATGGAACTTCTTCTTTTCTTTTTCCTACCATGTAAAATTATTTCATTTTTTCTATTACATTCAAATCCTCATATATGGTATCTTAATTCATGCTAATAGTAATACGTTAAAGTTAAAATATTGGAAGGCATAGGTAAAAAAACGAATTCGATATTTTTTCTAATCTATTTACTTAATTGACTCGTGATTTAACGTAGTATTAAAATTGGAATATTCTTGAGAGATTGTTAAATGGAACTAATTCCTCTCGATAATGGTCCATCCTCTCTCATCTTAAGGATAGAAATAAAAAAAGAACAATACAAAACYGTCCCTCCAATTGTTCTTTTTTTATAGATATAATAATATCAGAACTTTGCAAAATCTATCTGATCKGTTTCATTAAAAGAAACAATGTAATCTCATCATACTCCAATCTGTGTGTTTTGGAGTACAGCAGTTTTTTTTTCCTTTGGTTGGGTAAAAAAAAAAACATATAATTTTGGATGATGTACACGTGTCAGACACCCACATGACTGCGTTTCAACAAAAGAAAAAATAAAATTACGATTTCCCCCTCTACACAAACAACATTGACATTTGTTACATGCAAATCAGATTGGAGATATCTTTGGACGTGTACTCCCAAGATATACTTGTCTTCAATGTTTTCCTGCCGTACACGTGGCTGAATCCTATCAGAACTCCATGTCTCTTCTTTSGGCCCCATCTCCATCCTTCCTTATCAAACCTCCCTCTTCCATCAAAATTAAATAATTTAAATTTTGCTTCAAAACAGTTTTTTTTTTAATCTTTTTAGCCACACTCTCCATAGTCTTGACTTTCATACTGGTAATTTATTCTGTAAAAATGTTGGTAATATTTGAAATCTTTAAATTCCATTATATATATTTGAATGAGTTTTTTTTTGTTCTCTCATGATAAAAGAACATCTATGGAGAATTAATTAAAAAAATATTTTAAAAATAAACTTTGTAATACATGAATAATTATATTTTACAGTTTATAAACATTACATTGGAGGTGACTGGGTCAACTTTTTATTTTAGTTTATTTTTTAACATATTTATTGGGTGGATTGGCACCATGCAGAGAATCACAGTGGAGTCAGTGCAATGCAAGGTAACAACAAATMCGGAAAAGAAAAAGAATACGTTTTTTTTGTATATAGAAGAAAGAAGAGAATTGGGTAATTTTAATTTTATTATAAATTATGAAATTAAAAAATATATATATATCGTACTGTATTGTGGGGGCTTCAAAAAGAATGCTGAGGAGTGGTCACAATCAGCCACTCTGGGTCAATCTTTGCTGTTTTTGGGAAGATCTTGACGTGGACCCCACCCTTTAACACGTGTATGGCCTACCCTCTTCCTCCCTCTCTCTCTCTCTACTTTACTGTGTCTCTGCACTCCCTCGCCTCGCATTTAATGAACCTATTTCTATTTCAACTACACACTATTTTTATTTTTATTTATTCAAATTACTCACTTCTACTTTCTCTTTTTTTTCTTCTTAAAYTAAAATGCCTAAATTCAATGTCAAAAAGTAGAGAGTTTTTCTCTTGCTRGTTATTATTTTGTTGGACGATTATTTTTTAAATATACATTTTTTTGAAAGAACGGTGTTTTTTTGATCTCTTGAACTATGGATAGAGAAGTGTAGCTGTTGTGATTGTTTTCTTTATCCAAAGTATTTTGACAAAAATAAAAGAAAGAAAATCCATTAWTATTATCAAAGTGATTGTTATATCCAACTTGCTTTTGGTGTAGTCATTTTCTATTTCTTCACATGTTTTAAAATATTAAATTTGGTTATTAGGATGTTGAATGGCAAATAGTGATAATCTATGATACCAATGAAGTATGGATTTCTTATTTTGGAGAAAATTAAAAGTGGGAATCTGTGTCTCAGTAAGAATTAGAAATGTGGTTAGGGTGGGTAGGGTTAAGCTYATGGAGTCTTGTCAATCATGTAGYTGAGTGGTCCACTTTTGGTATTGCCACGTGCGTAACACAGTGGTCTCACGTGCCCGATTCTTCCACCCGCTTTAACCCCATTGGGGCAAGAAATTTTGATCACAGATACAGACACACACACAGACGACGCTTCACTGCTCTTTTTCCTCTCTCTCTCTCTCTCTC